TGTACTAATCAAGTGGATTTCGTTGGCTCCCTGTAGTCGATACTACAAAGTATTTTTATCTCAAAATCGTGAAACTCTGACATAAATATTAATAATACGATAATAATTGACGATTAAATCAAAGTATCGCGTAAGTTAATTCATTAGTAATTTGCGGTTAATTAAGTGATTATTAATAAGTCGAATATCACCGTAACAATTAGCACGTGTACTTGACGTCATTTGGGACGTTGTTTTGTGTAAACGGAGATAAGATTAGAGAAAGATTCTTAACAAGTGGGTTAAGAAAACATTGACTGATGCTAATTTTGTATCTAATCAAAAGTAAACAAAGAAGATAAAAGAAAACAGAAAGAGAAAGAGATTTGTCTAATTGAAAATATAGATAAAAATACGTTAAAAATGTAAACTCTGAATGGAATATAGTATTGCAAGGTTGCGTCCGGGAAAAAATGTATTTTCTGCGTGGCTTTCCATTTATATGCACCCTTCTCAATGCATTTCGGACAATGATTGGATACTTCCATTAACGTGCATAGATCGAACTTAACGTTTAGATTCTCTCTCTCTCTCTCCCTCTTATACGTACGTACGAGCGTAATTGTATTTTGAACATATCGAAAAATTGGTAGAATGAACAAAGAGTTTAATTAAATAAACGTTGATTAATAAAATATCGGATGATGATTTTCTGTAATCGTTACCACCAAATTTCCAATTAACTTCTTTGTTTTTTTTCCCTTCTTCTTCTTCTTTATTTTTCAGCAAACTCGAAAACTGGAAATATATTTTCCCTCTCTCTCTCCTTCTCCTTCGAGTCCTCTTATTTGTATCCCGTCTGAAGCCTTAAGAGATTTCTCTGAAATATTCCAAAGCCCTGGTTACGCGTATCAAAGGAATCCTCGCGCTCATTACACATACTTTCCCCCTTTCCGCTTTGAAACATATAAAGCGAGCTTGCGGAGTTGTAAAAGAGGTGCTTAAATCCGGTGACTTTCTTCGGTTGAAGAAAAAGAAAAAGAAAATGAGAAAGAAAAAGAAAAGTAGAAGGGAGAGAATGTCTAGAAACGTACGTCGCTACCTTTTTCTTACAACACATACACACACCCATACACACACATACAAAAATAATACATATACATAGAATATATCGAAGCTGGTTTCTACCTAGACTTAAAAGAAATAAAAATACGAAAGAAAAAGTGTCAAATATACTAGACTAAGGCTAGACTATTCTCTGTTATAGACAAACACCCCCCCCCCCCATATACATATACGGGTGAGATAGAATTTTTGCGTTCTCTCTTTAAACTCAATCGCTGAGAACGAATCGAGTACTATAGAAAACGAACGGCGAACAATATTTCCTAGCACCGTCGCGTCGGCCGCCGATAAATACAGACTTCGCGCATACCGGCGCCCTACCGGTTTTGCGGTATCTCGAACGGCTTAATGGCACTGTTAACTGCCGTATTATTTAACGGGGATTTATGCATTGCAGTCTGCCGATTAAAACACTACGGTGGTTAGAGAGAAGAGGTTGGGGGGTGGGGGATAGAGAGGGGGGAGTGGGGAGGGGGCAAGGGATATAGAGGGATAGACGAAGCGGAGAAGGGCAAAGGGAATGTGGTAGTGGTGGTGGTGGTGGTGGTGGTGGTGGAGGACCAAACGAAAGGGTAGCGACGAGGTTTGGGTGTTTCGAGCGGAATGGAGATAGAAATAGAAAGGAATAGAGAGGGAAAGAAGAGTGAGAGGAACGGTGGCGACTAGAGCCGACAAGGTTGAGAGGGTTTGGTGGAGTGCACGATACCCTTAATCCTTCATAATAGCTTGCTCCGATAAACAGTCCACCCTCTCACCCTTCCCATCTTTTCCACTCTGACTGGAAACTCGAGACTCGTAAAAATCCTCAAACCGATTATATATACATACGTATATATATATACAGGTAGGTACTATAATATATCCATGGATTTTGATCAGTGAATAGAAAATATCAATGAATCGTTTACCTTCTTTCTTTTCTTTTTTTCTTTACAATCTCGAAAGATGTATTACAGAATAATTCGAAGAGAAGTTATGCAGAGAACAAAATTGTTCGGCGAATTACCTAAAGAGAAAAATAAGAAAAAGAAGATGAAGATGAAGTTGAAGAAGAAGAAGAAGAAGAAAAAGAAATGAAGAAAGAATGAAGTAAGGAAGTAAAAAAAGAGAAAGAGAGATGAAAGGCTCGTGAATCATCCACGTCACGATCGCTGCCAATGGGATCTGGGATCTCTCGGGCGATGCTATTGGAGGATTTGCATCTCCTGTCTGTGCCGAATGCCAGAGGAACTTGGTTCGTGCTACTACTGCTGCTACTGCTACTGCTGCTGCTGCTGCTGCTGCTGTTGCTGCTGCTGCTGTTGCTAGTAGTGCTGGTGCAACGAGGACGATGGGAAATCCGGTTGGGCATATATTCGCGGATGCGCGAATACGACAAGCTCTCTCGTGGAGGGAAAAGAGATGGAACGAAAGGAGAAGGAGGAAGGGGGTAGGGGGAGGGGTAGGGGGAGGAAAGATAGAGCTAGAATGCGTGTATGTGAGAGAGTGAGAGAGAAACGGAGCATGGTCGATGTGTCTAGCCTAGCCCGGTTGGCTGGCTGGCTGGCTGGCTGGCTCGGCTGGCTGGATGAACCAGGGACCGTCTAGCTTGCGCTGCCCCGCACAAACTCGGCATTATCTATACGTCTAGACACCCCTGCGCCACACCAGAGAAGAGAGAGAGAGAGAGAGAGAGAGAGACAGTAGGCGGCTTGGCGCACTGCTGCTTGTAATTTACAGCAAACCCCACCGTGTCTTTCTACGTTCGCTCTAACCTACCAACTTCCACTATTCCTTCTCTTCTCCTCCATTTTCTTGGCCCATCTCTCTCGTTGCACTCTCTCTTTCTCTTTCTCTCTCTCTTTCTCCATCTACTATCCAGCTAGTCATTCTGTGTTAAACTCACCCCAAGAGATACAGTTGTACAACTAACAATGAATTGTTAGTTGTTACCATTCTACCAAAGCTGTTAAACCATCACCGATCGTGTGGGGTCAGGTCAGTGTTTCGATCGTTTAATATCCTATTAAATAAATAATTTAACGCGCGATAATATTTCTCTTTCTGTAAAGGAGAAATACATTTAATTCTAATGTCTTGAAATTTAATTAAAACACGATTCGATTCGATCGTTCTTAGAGAATAATTGAATTCCCGGGGCTAAAATGTTAACTTTAGGGGTGGTGTTTGTTAACGGGATCGTAACTTCTAACTCTTGGGGGAACCACGAAAAGAGCACGCACTTTCTCAGACGGTATCGTTACGAGATTAAACCGAGAAAATCGCCTTAGACTCGACCTTCAAAGAAACTCTCTCTTGTCCATCTCTCCAAGTACTCGGAGTATAAGAGAGAAGGAGAGAACACAAAGTTTCTCTCTGGGCAGGACTCGGGAGAGAGGCAAGAATTAAGGTAGGAAGGTAGGAAGATAGGAAGGAAGGAAGAACACGAGTCAGGTGCGTACGACGTCGAACTTGGTGAGTTTCGAGAACGCAATTTTCCCAGAGGAATCGGTCCTCGCTAATGCTACGGCGACCATAAAGTCGAACAGAGAAGGGAATGAGAGAGCAAGAAGAACGAGAGAACGAGAAAGGTATACTTACTAGGAAGAGGAGAGAGTTAAAGGAGGAAGCTTGGAGGTTGTAGCCGTCGTCGAAGTTCGAGGGGTTCAACGAGCTGACGCTTTAAGCAATGTAACTTACAGAAACTACGCTTCCGAGCGGTCTCGGGCGCAGATTAGTCGTAATCTCGGCGCATTGCACTCTGCAGATCCACTCCTCCTCTTCTTCTTCTTCTTCCTCATCCTCCTTCTCCACTTCTCCTCTCTTCCTCTTACCATTTATGTTCGCTCGTGAGAAAGAGGAAGAGAGAGGGGAGAAAGGGAAAGAGAAAGAGTACCCTATCGACGTCTCCTCCTCCTCCTCTCCCTCCTCCTCCTCCTCCTCCTCCTCTTCCTTCACCTCTTTTGCGACCTTCCTCGAGCTTCCTTCGTGTGTTACACCTCGAAGTCGCACCGATATAACACAGAGGTAACTCGTAACTTCCAACACATAGAACACGTAGCCAGCTTAGTCGGTGCTTATATCGCCGCTTTGATTATTTCCTAGAGGCTTAAACCAAGTCTACGCCCTCGCTCGCCTCGCTGCTATCAACGGGTTACAACCGCGGCGAAGATTAAACGCTTTCTCGATTTACGAGTCCACGGTGGTATCCCTTAGCCTTCGGCTTCGGCTTCGGCTTTTCTTAAGGAACATGCCTTGATTTATCTATATTTAGCGCCTCTCTATTGGTCGATGTTAAATGTTAGCAATTGATGTCTTCATATTTCTCAATATGTCTTTATTCTTTGTTGAAGAAAAATATATTGAAATTTTGTAGTTGTTCTTTTTCTTTTTTTTTTTCTCTTTTTTTCAATAAAATTCGATTAAATTTCATTCGATAAAATTAATATCAAGAATAGAATTTAAATTTCGCGACAAAGAGAGTCTATGATAGCAACGCCGCAGGTTAACAACTATATCGAACAAACAAGATAGATAGGATATTTATTCGTTGGTGATAAACGAGAGTCGCGTATAATACCTGTAATAACCACTAGTTAACAACCATTTTGCAGAATACGTGTTGTATATCAATTATTAATATAATTTCATGCGTAAAATATACGTATCTGTCTTTTAAAATGTGCTAAAACACGTCAGGTTTATAAGTGAATTTGTGAAATATATTTAAAATTCTTTTTCTTTTTCATTAAAATATTTCTTAGGATATTGAAAATTGAAAGAACGTGATAGAGTTAAACGATTTCTCTCACTGAATTCAACATCTCCGAGATTAGGGAGGATCGATATATTTTAAACCATTTATAAAAAAAAATAAGTTAAAATTTGTTGATTAGTGTAATTAATTGATTAAACGTACCCTAGTGAAGAAAATAAAAAAAATGGCGGAAAAAAATCAAGACTACAAGGAAAGTAAGAAAATTGATAGAACGTTTCACGTGAAACGTTATTATAGTACGAAAGATCCAGTGACTTCTGACAAAATTAGGTATACGTTGAAAAGCTTATGTGTGTTAGAGTTAAGTGTTTTTTTTTTAAAACAGAAAATCCCTTAATATTTTTGTAAATTTTAGTAAAGAGGTGATAAAAGCCGAACGAGAAACAGAACGGAAATGGTTGGCAAGATACGAATGTTTGTCCAGTGAATATTTTCAAAAGGTACCATAAAAATACTCGTGCGTATAATCGTGCGGCCGACCGGTCACGAATTTCAACGAGTTCCAATGCCACTGACCGCAGGTGCTGGCCGAAGAATGCAGAAAAGCGGCACTTCCGGCGGATACTTTCAAGCGAAAACCGCCGGAAGACCCGACTAAATGTTCACCAATTCCCTTGAAACCTTCMCCAGCCGTTCCCAGAACGGCGTCCGCAATGGTCGGCTGGAGATCTTCTCGTATGGAATACAATCTAGAATTCATCGGTCCTATGTATATTTCACCAAAATGGACCATTCGTTCTTACACGGAAATAGAAAATTATCTAACGCAACAAAAATTCATTTATCTTGGTTGAATGTATTTACGTATACATATATATGTATATATATATATATGTATGTGTGTGTGTATACGTGCTAATAATTACGACAATGCAATAAGTTATATATATATATATATATATATATAATAAACGATTTTAAAAATTAATTTTTTTTTACAATTATTTATATTATAAAATAAATTTAAAAAAGAATAATTCTTTATAATTTTGTACTCAATCAACTGATCAACTGGCATATTAATTACTGCAACGAATATTCAATTCTTGTTTGTATATCTATATATACATATAGATTTCAATTAATAATAAGATGAAGATGTAACGGTAAATATTAATAAGAAGATAGAATTTGAAACACAGATATAATTATTAAGCTGTTGCATATGTGTAAATGCATTTTGACTTGACGAATAATCTTATAAAAAATAATGTTTTCAATTTTACTATACCGAAAGTTTCCATGGATTTTTTTTTTATTTATATGCCAAACCACTTTTGTTTTAACGGGGGTGGCAATTTTTCGAGCAATGCCATCGGATTCACTTCAACCGCGACCATTTCTTGATCGTTCAACCAGTTCAAATAGACAAGGTGCTGTAAAAAATACACACATAACTTCTTGTAAGACAATAACGATAAAGAATTAATTAAAATTAAAATTAAATATTACCTTATACTTTTTAGCAACTTTGAAAGCATGTTGCGATTGTGAACTCAATGCAGAGCTGCTATCTTCCGTAGTGTCGTCATTTTCACACTTTGGAATTTTCGCTTCTTTTTCCAGCGATTCGTTTTCCTTATTTATTATATAAACGTTAGAATCATCGTGCATGATTATAATATTCTCATTGTATGGATCAAAACAAATGTTTATTATTGGAAACGGACGTGCCAACCATTGTTTCGGCATACGACTTTGTAAATTATTTGAAAATTGAGTGTACTGTTTTTTAATTAAATTATATTCAACGATCTAAAAGTATAATGTTCGATATGAGATTAAAGTATGTTATATTAAAGTTAAATTTATATATAATATAAGCTCTTAAGCTTACAATTGCAATATAACGATAATACTGTTATTATTATGTTATATTTTTTAGCTACAATTTTATTTTTCTTACCTTATGATCAGAGTATACAATGACAAGATTTAAAGTATCTTTATGTACGGCCATTGCTGTTGGTGGACAACTATAACTAGGCAGTCGCCATGGTTGAAGAGATTCTTGTGTAAGATCTCCATTGACTATATACACTGCAATACTACCTTGACGGTCAGAACATATTAAATATTTATTATCCGGTGAAAAACATACTAGATTAACATTTACAATAGATTCATTCATTGTATGAAATGATCCAATGTGTCTCAAACTTTTTTTACTTAATTTATATATCGTTACTATGTTCTTATTTCCATCATTGTTAATTGTTGCTAATAGATGACCATTTGGACTGAACAACATTTTTTGTATTCTTTTTACAGTTATATCTGTATCATTCCGTGATAATATAGCATCTCCCTGCACTACGTCAAAATTGAATACTCTGACATGAGTATTCGTTGAATACACTATAGTTTTTGAATCCTTACTAATAGCATAGGATAAAATACTTTCATCTCCTTTAGTTTTAAGTTCTAATAATTTTATCGGTTCATTGTCTAATTGATGTAACATGCCAACTTTTACAGTTTCTGAAGCAGTTTGAACAGAAGATCCTAATCTCCATAATTCAAGATAATTCGAATAACACAACAATACACATTTGGACTTCTTACATAAAACAACAGAAGGTGGCTGCAGTAAGGGTGGATATTTGACAAGTACCTTTGGAGGATAACTCGATTGAGATAAATATCCATCGACTCCGGCAGAATATAATTTACCATCAGCATCTACTAAAGCTCTAACATCGTGGGAATGTAATCTTCTTTCTATTCCTTTAACCCAATGTGACTTTCCGCTGGACTTTAGAGTAACTTTACAAAAACTTCTTACAACTGGATCAACTCCTGCGCAATATACAACATTCTTTTCACGAGATAATGTGACTGCCAATATATCTGCAGTATGACTTTCATGAGACTCGATTAAAGTACCCATATAAGGATCCCAAAAGGATAAAAATCCACGAGAGTCGCCAGAAATAATTAAATTATCATCTGTTACTGCAAGACACCATACAATAGTATCTTTTCTTATTTCTTTTCTAGATGTAGTCATTTTATGAATTGCATGTCCAGAAACGGTACTCCAAACTCTCACCGTATCCGTTGATCCAGTGAATATCATTTCTCCTGTATTATCCCATTTAATACATAGAATTCTCCCATTTTGTTTGTCAAATATCCGTTCATAAATTAATGTATCTTCAGTGATGTGAAAAGTATTAATGTATCCATCTTCCGTACCAATTGCAATAAGTGTTTTTTGTTGATTAATATCCATGCACCATGCTGCTCCACCAGTAACCGATACCTGATATTTGATCTGTAATGTTGCTAAATTATATTCTACAACTAGGCCATGAAGACCGGTCGAAAACAATCTTGAGCCGATCAAAAGAATGCTTTCTATAGAATTATCTTCATCACCAGGAATAACACACTCGATGAATGGAGCATTCTCAACATTCCATAGCTCTATAGAATTATTATTTCTATAAACAACAAGAATAATATATTAGAATTATTGTTAAAACTCGTATAAAATATTTAAATAATAAAAACTAACCTGGCTAGTGCTAATTTTTTAGTTTCTGATTCATGATATAGGCAAGTAGCAGATTTGGGTTTTAATTCGTAAAATCTTACGTTATGTATCCTCATTTCATTCATTTTTTTATGAATTCATACAAATAATATAAATATACTTTGAATTCATAATATAAATTCAAATAAAATCTAAAACACACGTGATATTAAAACTATTATAATAATGATGACAATGCATGGATCTAGTGATAATGTATAGAAATGTCACTAGATTCTCAAACCTTAATTCGAAGAACCAATAATAAAAAAGGAAATATTGTTCTATTCATCTTTGTTATTATGATGTTTTATTAAAACAAAATTATAATTAATTATTAATAATATTTAATTATAAATAATATATAGATAAAAAAAATCGATCGAACATAAACGATATAAATGAATAATCGTATTAAATATTTAATGCAACACGTTCACCAATGAGAACAGAGTTATTGCAGAAAGTGATTGTCTATTCGATTGCACTGAGAAATTCTTAATTTATTGATTTTATTCTTTGACTCATGAGATCATAAATTTTAAGTCTCCCTTATGAGTAGGTAAATACACACGTATATAACCTAAATATAATAAGATATTCTTCTTTTTGTTAAATACATTACGCAAGCGCTTTTCAGAAACTAGATGCGTCATACCCTGAAGTTTGCCATACTTGATAATAGTTACTTTTAGGTAGAATAGTATCGGAACTTGTCGAAGCGTGTTGTTCGTTGTGTAACGTTGGAAGACATATATACGTATATTAACAATTATATTGTGCGATAAAAGTTTTAAAGTAATTTCGTTTAAATCATTTTCTAACAAGTTATTAATTTTTCACCGGTTAACATCTCGTTTTTATCAAGAACAGTTGTCAAATCCAAATTAAAGAGAGGTAAATAAAATCAATCATATTCGGCATATGAATGTGCTTTATTATTGATTGTAACTATTTCTAGAAAGTGGTATGACGCATCGAATTGATATATAATACTTGCTGTCATTTTTTAAACGCATAGGTTCTATCTAACATTTGATTATCTATTTATCGAATGTTGCAAGGTTGCACTGTTGCTCAATGTGTCGTAATGATTAAATATAACATAGAATTATATCGATGCTAATTAAACTTATCACATACTATTTCCGGTATTTTTCTAGACCAATCTCGTTATTTAGCTTTACGTTAAAAGTCAATACTTCCCTGAAATATTACCAGGAAATATATTCGATCTATGAGACTTAATCTTGAAAATTTCGTTTTTATTATTAAATGATAACTGCATAAGTATTTCGTTAACTTTGAATATATAGACCGATTACGTACGATTTGTATATATTCATCTTAATATTTAATGTTTACATAGTTGTCGTCCTTGTCATCATCGTGTCGTCATCGGTGTTGCTAATAATTAATATGGTATTATACAACGAAAAACGTGTTTTCCTCATGCGTTATAATTTGATACATTAAATTATTTTAATAAAACGCACGTAATACGTTAATGATAGATGTTTTCATATGATGACGTATTCTACGTTATGAGTGTTATCTGTAAAATAAAAGGAACATCATATTAGAGATAAGATAAATAAGTATTTTTTCAAGAATTTGTTAGCTGATTTTTTATTTTTAACTTTTAGACTATATTCCATACATACGCATACACACATTCATACATACGCATAAACACACACATATATATATAATACAATACTATATAAATGTTTGACGATATATTTATATTAGTATATTATTATTTTACCTGTTTAAGGCAGCAGTTTTCTTACTATATCTTATAATATCAACTTGTTGTAATCATAGATTATTTTTCAGCTAATACAAGCAAAAAGATGACTACTTGGAACACACCAGGTGCAGGATACTATCCAGGGCAACAAGGTTTTAATTTTTTCTTTATGTTACCAAAACTATTTTTCTTGTTTTGCAGTAATTTTATGTATTAATACAGCATATGAACACAGCCCACAGAAAAATTCACTACAATTCTTGCTTCAAGCGGCATTTGTCACTTCATATCATCTTTATAACATTCTTATGTATATATGCATACATACAGTAGAACGTTAATTATCCGAATTAATTTGAAAATAAATTTAATTTGAACGGTCTATAAAACTAATACGTATCTAATAACAAGGAAAGTGCAATATAAAAAATTTGACATTCTTAGATATTGCTAAATTGAGAATTCTTTTCATCAATATATACAAAATTTGTACAACATTTATTTCATTTTAACGTTTTGCTCATTCCAAGATAATATTCAATGGATATTTCAATGCATATCCAGATTATGTTCTAATTTCAACATTCTTTTAATACTCATCATATAAATGAAATTTATACATATGAACTCACTAAATTCAGACAAGATTTAAAACTTAGAGATTTGAAACAGCTAAGATACATGTCTCATAAAATAAATAATTGCTAAATACATAGCTGAAGTACGTATATACATGACTCATTATATACTCAGATAAACGGATATTCAGATAATCAACGTTTCGAATAATTGACGTTCTATTGTACATATCATAAGAATAAAAAAAGATACTTATTGTTAATAGTAAAAAAAATGCAATAATCGTCTCATATTTAGATGGATTCATATTCATTAAGATTAACAAATTTCGTTGAAAAAATATCACATTTATTTTTTCTTATTTATATAATCTGTAAATTATATTTAATATATATATATAAAATATATATTAACATCTTACAACCCTATAAAAGAAAAGAATATTCTTTTAATTAAATTGAAAATATTAATGCAACATATGCTAAAATTTCCTTCATAATGATATAATCGATTTGCAAATATAATTTCTATAAAGACATAGTATTATTATTAATTAATAAATTATATTTATTATACATGTATGAATAACATGGTCCTGCAAGAAACATAGATGTTATTCATATCCGTATAAAATGGCACGCAATATAATATAATGTTTATCACAATTATGTAATAATAATTATTCACAATAATGCATGCTTATAGTATAAAATAGAGGGTACTGTTAACAAAAATACTGTAATATTTTCATTCATGTTTTTTAATGTTTGTTGTATAGGTTTTCCTTATCCACCACAAAATCCTGGTTATCCACCACCACCACAAGAAGGATATCCACCTCCTTATTCGGCTGGAAATATTCCACCACGTATGTTCAAATTTGTTTAATAGATATGTTATTAAACAGTTATTTTTATTATATTTTATTTTTCTTTTATTTTAGAACCAGGATTTATACAACCACCAGGTATACCACCACCAGGTGTACCACCCTACGGTCAAGTTCCACCTCCTACCGGAACACCATTCGGTGTAACTCCACAACCAGGAATGTATGGGTCAAGTTATGTGGAAGATCCCTTACAAGACGAAATAAAGGGATTTGATTTTAATGATAAATCAATAAGAAATGGGTTTATTAGGTATGCATTTAGATAAGTATTATTGATCGGTCTTGTTGATCATGGCAAATGAAATTATTCATTCTTTTCTTTTTATTTACAGAAAAGTCTACTCAATTCTAATGACTCAGCTATTGATTACCCTGTCATTGATAGCTATATTTTTGTACCACAAACCAACGCAAAAATGGGCGATGGCACATAGAGAAATATTTTGGATTTGTTTTGCTGCTACCATAATTTTGATCATTTGCATGGCTTGTTGTACCAGTGTTAGACGTAAAGCTCCAATGAATTTTATATTTCTTTTCTTATTTACAATAGCCGAGGGAGTCTTATTAGCGATGGCTGCATCCACTTACAGATCGGAAGAAGTAAGCTGCAATAATCTTTATCATAGAATTAATTTAGGATTGTTAATATATGGTTTTTTCGCTTTATAGGTATTAATGGCAGTGGGAATTACAGCAGCTGTTTGTTTGGCGCTAACAATTTTTGCGTTCCAAACGAAATATGATTTCACTGGTTGTCATACTATTTTATTCATAGCTCTTGTCGTCTTGATTATATTCGGTATTATTGCTATGATCTGGCCTGGTAAAACTGTACAACTTGTTTATGCATCATTGGGTGCACTAATTTTCTCATTCTATTTGATCTATGATACCCAAATGATAATTGGAGGTAAACATAAGTATTCTACTTCTCCTGAGGAGTACATTTTTGCAGCATTAAATTTATATTTAGATGTTATTAATATTTTCTTGGATATCCTTACCATCATTGGTGCATCTCGAGATTGAAACTAAGAAGATACCTGGAACATTCCACTGTATTAAAATTCTTTACTAAACAACGCGTAGTAGGCTTTTACTTGTTATCATTTTGTTTTAACTCTATACTTTTTTCTAAAGAGTAAATAATAAGTGAAAGAAGGGAAAAGTGTAAAGCAAATCTTTATTGCTACGAAGAATTAGCATTTTACATGTGATCCTATTTATGGGCAATAGAAGGAACACAAAAGAACAGTTACCACTTGACTTAGTTTTACGTGTAAAGCCTTCGATTTTGTTTCAAAATATTTCTTATTGTCTTACTCAAAAACTAAATGTATCATAATGTTTATTAATCTTTTTTTTTTTTATAAGATTGAATATTGTCGATATAATCATTTTATTTGTGTAATTTAGTTGTTGTATTCAAATCGTTGTTATTATTTCAATCAAGTTAGATAAAGATAAGATAAGTCATTTAATGTAAAATGTATAAGCAGTTTTCATCTTCAGAAATTAATTCGTTACGATTACTTACTTTCTTGTAAAGTGATAGCATTCACATCTGTGATGCTTTTTGTTCCTGACAATTAATATTTCATTTTGAAAATTGTAATTAGGAATTACGTATATTTATTTTGTTTTTCTTTGTTTTTTTCTCCCCCCTTCCAAGTTTCCTGTCAATATATCATTTATAAAATCACCGTTGTGCACTTTATGACAATTGAATGAATGATAGAATTGATGATGTTATTAATATTATTGCTCCTTACTTTAATAATGAAAATATATATGGTATGTAATATTATAAGCATATTATACAAACAGTCAAGTAATTATTAAAAAACTCTAAATATTTGATCGATATTTATGTATTTATATAGGTACTTTATCAGTATGTTTAAGTTTTATTCATGTTTGAATAATAAAAGCTGCAGATATAAAGAAATTATTATTTTATTTTAAACGTATTCGTATACGGTAAGAAATTCATTTGTATGTGCAAAATATTTCATAAAAACGCGTCTAATTCTATTTAATGTATATATATATATATATCGAAATATGATCTATACTAACAGTATTTTAAGGATTATAGAACAATAAAAGAATGATTTCGAAATCTTGAATATTTATATTTATAGTAAATTATTCTTACACAAATAGGATAAAAGCTTTTGGTTTAAAGCTTTTCAATTGAAACTTAAGAAACATCCGATTAAAACTTAATTATAAAGAAGCCATGTTAGGTGTGCAACGTTTTTGTATGAAAAAGCGTTAAAGTTTACATAGATAAAAATGTTTGAAATATATGTTTTAGCATTGATTCTCATGGTAACAAATTGCAGCTTTATAATAAACAATATGACATAGCTAACTTTGTTCGATTACTAATGCTTATTTTCGTATGAAAAAATGAAGCCTTATCAATAAAGCTAACAATTATTGATACTCTATATTAGCTTTTTTTATTAATGGAGCTTCAGTCTGTATACGTGCATTAAACACACACTTATAAATATATTTACGTATGCATAAAATAGCATTTACAGTCCATCCTCTGAAGCCTGTGGATATAATGAAAGAATTTGACGTTGAAAAATAAAGTTGGATAATTTGTTGACAACCCTTCATTAAATTGTACTCAATGTTATTACCACAATTGACATCCAATTAACTGAATCAGTTTTGATCAGGCAGTGTCACAAAGAGTTTAATTATGCTATTACGATTTAAATTATATTCTATATCTATCCACAAATCTATTTAAAGTGGCACGCGTTTATATATATATATATATTTATATTTATATAAATATATAGATATATATATATATATACATAGATATAGATAGTTTATTATGCGCCATTAAATAAATAATATAAAATTAGCAGCACCGATTGGAATTTCTTTCCACCCTTCTATCGACTGTTACTCTATCCGGAGCATCCTGCGGTTCTTTTCCCTGAATTTTCTCCAAAATAGCTTCCGCTAATTCACTGAATGCACGATCAATATTAATGTCAGCTTTCGCTGATGTTTCCATAAATCTGATACCATGCTCTCTCGCTATCTACAAAGAAGAATTATTTATTTTAGCAACATAATTGTTAGAATATTATTATCGGTATCAATTAAATAATATTTCTTACTGCTTCGCCTTTCTCTGTACTAACAACACGCTTATCATCCATATCACTTTTGTTACCAAGTATCATTTTTTCTACATCTTCATTCGCATGCTGCAAGAGCATTAGTTATAAATGTATGACACTTAACGATAATTAATCTTACGCAAGAAAAATATTTACCTCATCGATATTTCTTAACCACTTAACTATATTTTCAAATGTTTTTTCATTTGTAATGTCATAAACAAGCATTATACCCATGGCACCTCTGTAGTAGGATGTAGTGATAGTATGAAATCTTTCTTGACCAGCAGTATCCCTATAAAAACATTCATTTAGATATATTGTACTAAAATGTTAACTGTCTACATTGTCTTACCATATCTGTAATTTAATTTTTTTCCCTCTCAACTCGACAGTCTTGATTTTGAAATCAATACCTATAGAAACGTGAAAATCATTATCATAATATAAAAATAGAAAAATATATTTAATAATTAATATGTGATTGGTAAGTATTGACAATCGAATCATAAATCAAAATTCGAGATAATTTAAATCTATAATCTAACCTAAACGATTGAAGAGAAAGAGAAAGAGAGAAAGATAGAGAGAGAGAGAGAGAGAGAGAGAGAGAAAGAGAAAGAGAGAGATAGAATCATTAAACGAACGTATTAAAAATAAAAAATTACTAATGATTTATCGAAGATGACAGATAATAATTAATCTTTATAAATCTTACCAATGGTAGATATGAAGGTCGTAGAAAAAGCATCGTCGGAAAATCTGAATAGTATACAAGTCTTGCCGACTCCGGAATCACCGATGAGAAGTAATTTGAACAACAGGTCGTACGTCTTTTTCGCCATTTCACAAAAGCTCGTTCCTCGTTAAGGATACTTGGAATGAAAATGAAAAATGAGCGATAGGTTGTGGTAGTTTATAAAGGAAGAGGATATCCTGAGGATCGAGTATGTTTCGTACATCGAACGCTACGTGCCGATTAGTTAGAATTTCAAGGTCGAATGAGGGCGCGTCTTCTTCTATACTTTAAACAAGAGTGTGTATCTCGATACGCGACGGTAAAACCGGTCACAGGGAGTATATGCCTGTGTTCTCTGAGAAACTATTAAAAGACGACGCGACGACGCACGACGGTGCAACGCGCAATGAAAGGCATTGGGGTGACTTCGTACTTTGCGCTCGCGGAACGATGACGAATTCCTTCTTTCCAAGATCGTCCGAGTTTAATTCTATCTATATCGAGTTTCTAACCGACATATCTCCTCGACAACGACAACGGCGACGACGATGATGATGATGATGATGATGATGATGATGATGATGATGACGATGATGATGACGACGACAAAGCCGACGAAAACGTGTATGTTTTTTAACACATTATTCCCCTATCGCTTACGTACTATCTATATATATGTATCTACATATATCTATATCTGTATATGTATATATATATATATATATATATATATATATGTATGGCGCATATAAATACGAATGATGTGTCCTTAATGATCGTTCGTTAAAGATCTTTTTGGTTACCCACGTAATGTCACTACCAATTTTTATATACTTTTCATCTTTTTTTTATTTTTATTTTTATTTTATTTTACAAATGAAACACAACGAACGACGACTTTTTCGTCTTTCCTCTCCCTTACCTCTCTTCTTTCGAGTACAAAGCGGACTGTGTTCTTTTTTCGTTAACCCGTTCGTTCGATACACATGTTTGACAATTACGTAGAAAAAGCGCAATAATTGAAGCCGCGTTTATTCCTACGTTTATTTTCGCGAAATACATTAAACGTCGTTATCGTCGTCGTTGTTATATGTAATCTCTTTTTTTTCTTTTTTTTTTTATTTATATTTATTTATTTTTCCCGTCATTCGTTTTAATCGCAGTTCAATTAAAATACCCCCTCCTATCCTTTCGAAATATTTTTCGCTTATATTTGTCGCGATATAATAATCGATTAATACGAAGAATCAAATTCGCGAGTAAGTAATGCGATGAGAAATTCTATTAAGTCTTTGTTGGAAATTCATGCTACCTTTATAACAACGGTACTATACTATAGAAACGATCGATTTCGCGTTGAATTTCATCCATCGTCCTGTGTATAGCCTAGTATAGCAAATAATACTACGCCGTATAATCGACAAACAACACATACAAATATCACAGGACGTAATATGACTTTTTTTGCATGTGCTGCTGCGCTGTCCTACCTGTCTGTCTGTCTGTCTGTCTACTGCAACGTAGCCAGGGACAAGGCCAGGAGCTTCGAAATGTCGTCGCCAGGTGGCAACACCGATGCGTCGTCATTTGTTGTTTCGCAACGCAACCAATATTAGTTCCATCAAGTTGTACGAACATTTCTCGTCGATGGATTTTCAAAGGATACGTTAACAAACATCGTTCTTTTTTATTGCACACGACGACGCTGACAGTTTTTTAAAATTACGTGCAACGAAATAACATGGCTGCAAAAGTTAAACATTACGATCCGTTTAGCTCGGCGAGTTCCGAGAGGTATGTTTGTCAAATGTTTTTTTTCCTTTTTATTATTTTAGATTATTTTCTTTGATGTCAGCGTTTTAGAATACATAAATGTTGTTTATCTTTGCATATTCTTTACTTTGCGTACTTTTTACAGCGAGGATGGAGAAATTCCTTTGGACGATCGTGAATTACTTGTCGATGAAATTTGCGACGAAGCGACGACCACGCCGCAATCGCCGAGACCACCGTCCACCGGTACGTTCGTTTATTTTTCTCGATAAGAAGATAAATGAATTCATTCTTACGATCCATCGTTTAATAGATATTTGATTTTCTCCTCCTCCTTTTATTCTACACTCTTACTTGTATGTTTTCTTCTTTACTCATTTGTAACATCTGTGTGTGTGTGTGTGTATGTTATCATAACTATTTTTTAATCAGGTTGCAAAACAGCTTGTTTCAAAGAGATATGGAGTACATGCATATGGCAACAATCCGATGATCATTTATTCCAAACAGATATCTTTAATTTTTCAAAGAAGACAGCTGTTTCTTCTACAAGTACAAATGTTTCCCTTCCCCATTTTTCATTTATTTAACCTATTGTATTACAATTTAATTTGCTGCATCGTTAATTATGATTACGTTATGATACAGTTACAAATTTCTGAACCAAAAGTAAGACTTTTGCTTCTCTGTTTGTACTGTAAAGCGTATCACATTTCTAATATGTTGTAGTAGTGCAAAAGGTTAATATGCAATTTTAAAATGTTTATTACTTTATATTTATGTAAATCATATGAAATTTGATACAATAGGTTCACAAAAATCTCCACGTTCAAGAAGGCAACGTACTACCAGTATGACACAATCTAGTAAAAAGACATCAGCGGAATCTATCATTAGAAGTAAGAGAGGAACCATTTATACAGCAGGTAGACCACCTTGGTATAATTCTGCGGGACAGCAAGTAGAACCTTTTGTTATTGGTAAGAAATTTTTCTTTTAATAGAATTTAGAATCTTTATAGAATTAAGTTAAAAGTGATAATTGTATTTTAGGAATCTGTGGAGGCAGTGCTTCGGGTAAAACTACAGTAGCTACAAAAATAATAGAGTCATTGAGCGTTCAATGGGTGACTCTTCTTAGTATGGATTCATTTTATAAAGTATGCAGGCATAATTTACTATAGTCACTTAATAAAGAAAATACTTATTCAATTATTATATAATTTTTATTGCGATTTTAGGTATTAAATGAAAAACAGCATGAAATGGCAGCATGCAACGAATATAACTTTGATCATCCAGACGCATTTGATATGGAACTTCTCAAGACTACGTTGCAACGATTAAAAGAAGGAAGGATGGTGGAAGTTCCTATTTATAATTTTGTAACTCATCGTAGAGAGAGTAGGACTGTAAGTTGATAAATTCGACTAATATGCACTATTATTCAATGCTACTTTCTATAATATAACATACTTATCGTTTTATTTTCTTTTTTGGAAGAAAACAATGTATGGCGCTAACGTCATTATTTTTGAGGGAATATTTACCTTTTATAATGTGGATGTATTGAAGGTAAGTAATTACGTATTTAATAAATAATAATAAAATGTGTTAAATATTGAAATAGAAAATGTAAGTCCATATACTTTGTATCTAATATTTTATTTCAATGATTATCTTTAAAAGATGTGCGATATGAAAATATTTGTTGATACTGACGCCGATGTACGACTTGCACGAAGATTGCGTAGAGATATATTGCAAAGAGGAAGAGATTTGGATGGTGTCTTAAAACAATATTGTACTATGGTACAACCTGCCTTTTATTATTACATAGCACCACTTATGGTCCATGCTGATATTATTGTACCTCGTGGTGGAGAGAATGAAGTTGCTATTGAACTTATTGTACAACATGTGCATACACAATTACAATTGGTATGTATTTGTATATATTGTTATTTTATATAAACATAAATATCTTTAAGCATACTTATGTTCTTTTGATTTTAGAGAGGATTTAAGCTCCGTGAACAATTAGCCCATTCTTACATAGGTCAACCATTACCTACATCTTTATATTTACTTCCTGATACACCACAAATTAAAGGCCTACATACGTTTATAAGAAACAAAGATACTTATAGAGATGAATTTATATTTTATTCGAAACGTTTGATACGTCTTGTGATAGAATATGCATTGTCTCTTTTGCCATTTGAGGTAAGTATGAAAGAAAAATTATCTACAATGGTACAGGAAAAAGAATGAGAAAATAAGAAAATAATTTGTTTAATTTATTTAATAATAAAGGAAGTTACGGTGGAGACACCGCAAGGAATACCTTATCATGGTAAGCGAGGTGCAACAGACAAAATTTGTGGTGTATCTATTTTACGTGCTGGAGAAACAATGGAACAGGCTGTTCGAGATGTATGTAAAGATATAAGAATAGGAAAAATTCTTATACAAACGAATCAACAGACTGGTGAACCTGAGGTATTTATTATTTTAACTCTATTATATTTATCAATAATAATATATTTATACAATTCTTCTTTCTTAGCTATATTATTTGCGTCTTCCAAAAGATATCAAGGATTATAGGGTTATATTAATGGATGCTACTGTAGCAACCGGTGCTGCTGCTATGATGGCTATTAGAATTCTTCTCGATCATGATGTAGCAGAAGAAAATGTTTTATTGGTATCTTTACTTATGGCGGAATCGGGTGTTCATTCCATCGCTTATGCTTTTCCAAAAGTGAAAATAGTTACATCTGCTTTGGATCCAGAGATAAATAATAAATTTTATGTATTACCAGGTATTGGTAATTTCGGTGACAGGTATTTTGGTACCGAACCATCTTCCTTAGATGATTAACGAATTTTATATAAGTAGAAATAATCATTTGTAGACTTATTTGTTTCTTGCCTTTACTATTGTGATACTGCAAACAACAATCCTTTCTTGTACTTTTAGTGTAGCTTATTATTTAAGTTTTTAATTTCTCCCCGTTCGGAGAGTTGTACAGTTACAGTGATATGTCTAAACAATCTCCTTGTTAAGTGATTTCTGCGTCGAAGATAAGTTTGTAATAAATTCTATTACATTGGTATATTATATTTTGTAATATACGCGTATGTTCATATATATTTATTTTATTAAATTATTTACAAAGGTGTCGTACCAACATTACCAGCTTCAGCAGTTGCACCAGTACCGTGTAATTGTCTGTAACCTCTAGCACTCGCTTGACGCGATCGACGCCATATATCCAAATTATTATTTGTGGTATTACTACTTGGTTGACCCAGAAGATAAGTAATCAATCTATCAAGAGCCTCCAGGTCTTCGTTTGTACTTGCAGAATTTGGTAAACCGTTTGGTGATGTATCATGATTGCTCGTAGGACGAGTAATTATTTCATCACTTGTTCTACCATTTCCTTTATTGGCACCAACGTGCGTAGGAAAACCAAGTTTTGGAGTGATCTATGAAACAAATTTTTCATCATTTTGATGTCACATTTTCGATACAGTTTTATTTTTTGTCATTGTTTTCATTGTATGGACAATTGAATCACGAGTACATTGTTACTGTACTGAATAATTATGACGTTATTAAAGTTATGTTTATAATTATAATAATTATTATAAACATAACTTTTACCGTACAAAGAATATAGCAATTAAAAATTTTACCGTATAATGATAAGTATTGATAAAAATTAATTATAATTTATTGAACAAATTGTTAGATAATAGTAGTCGTTAGTATCGAACGGGTTAATTATCTTTTAAGTAAATTTTAATTATTTACCTCTTCATGCCCAAGTCCATAACTCATTCTTTGAACTTTTCTAAAGGTGTCATCATCGATCGCCTCGCGTACGGCTTCGTTTAGAGTTCGTTCTAATTCCTTTTGTTTAGTTTTACTCAACCCGTCGTAATAACTGTTGCATTGTTATTCGTTCATGTAGTATATAATATCATGTGTCATTTAATTTCGTGCTTACTCACCTTGAATCCAATGAACTGTGATCTCTGGAAGTATTTTTATCGCGAACCAAACGTATATCATGTTCCCAAAATCGTCTTAATTCCGGTGTTGAAGTATATGGTGCGGCTACTTCTTTAATCTAAAACAACACGATCAAAGAAATTTCACCATTGAATGATACGAAAAGATAGATTTTTGAATATATTACCTTGAGGACCATTATCGCCGTTATGAAGATACACATTACGTTAATGAATGTCAAACATGCACTGATAATTCCATTGCAAAAGAACTCTACAGGTAGATAATCGGTATAAACGTATACGTAAGAACTATTAAAATCCGCGTAAGATTCTCCTTTTATGTGTGGCATTTTGATCGGTCGGTATATCAACCAGATGCATCCAAGAGCCCAAAATAAACCCTATAAAAGGTTATTGATTTATATTAATATTTCATTTTTTTTTCCTATTTATTTTTTTCATTTTAATTATATTGTATTAACTTACGCAATTAACAACCGGTGGTAACAACGAAGCAGATATAGCAACACCGATTAAAGGACCATTACTTCCTTGCAATAATGCAACAGCTACACCTGTACCCGAAGGAAGTGCCCACAGTACACCCATCCAAAGAGATCTATAATTACCTCTAGCAAAAAAATCCGTAATCTGGTTTAAATTATTGTTTTCACACTCTAGTCAGTTTATTTTATTTTCTATCAAAGTCAGCTCACCTGCCTTTCATTTCATCGGTTGGCCAATCGTTGTAACCCCACGGCATTTCTGTTGTGCCAAGGATAAGGCCGAATATAAATCCGAAAAGTATAGACAAGAATATACCTAACAAAAGACTCTTCAATCCACCTAATTGAAGATTTCTGTCTGCTATTATAGTGCCGAACGTCAAAGACATAACCGGTCCCTTTTTATTTATATAAATGAAATGAAGAAGAGGAAAGAAACGAAATATATATTTTGTGCGTTTGTCAAATAACGAAAAGTTTCATTTCTTACCATTAAAGGTGATACCAACATGGCTGCTACCACATTGGTTGCACTATTTTCAACAAGACCCAATGCAGCTAAACAACTAAAAGATTTTTCTTTTTTTTTTTTGTTTTAAATTTTAGACAAAAAAAATAATTCATTTTATTAAATAATTATATGAAATATTCTTACTCAGCCGTTAACACCAATAGAACGTAATCAAAAGTAAGGTCACCACCACTTCGAACACCATCCACCACTTGTTTAACTGTCAATTTGGAACGTATAGAATCCACGAAATCAGTCCAAGCATCCTTCCTATCCTGAGCTTCTCTTTTCCTAAAATCCAAGAATGCATGCAACAGTAACAGAGGAATTCATTCACTCGCATATTCGAAATTACCTGCGTGCTATGTCGTCCTTGATCGCTGCAGATCCTATGCTCTTAGATCCAACACTACTGTAGGTACATTGTGTCGGTATTACACTGAAAATAATCATTTAGTATTTTATCTTATCTGTATTAGAGTATTGTCTTTTTTTTTTTTTTTTATTTATATTGTACACGTGTTTACCTGACGATAGAATTCATTTTAACTCCTATGCCCATTTCGGTGAGACAATGTATACAATTTTCGCATGGTTCGCCAGCAGGAACTGGGAATATTACCTAATTCAACAGACACAGACAAATAGAAGTAGTACCGTATAATACAGTTAATATGTTACGTATATATATACAATTAAAAATAAAGAAGAAATATTTTCGTTGTTTTACCTCGTAATACATGTTCTCTTTGTCTTTGCACCAAACAACGTGTTCTACTTTGAGCTTTTTCAGCAATTCGGTCAACACCTGCCAAAAGACAAATCATTATCAAATAATAAAAATTTAAAATTATGTAAATAAATGTGATTTATTATATATTATAATAAACGTTTTTGAAATTAACCGTTTCCATGGAAACGAAGACAGGTGTTTTAGAACGAAGAGCAGCACGAGCACGTGAATAATTTCGCGATGAAACGTCTAAATCAGTATCATCGTCCCCAACAAGCGCATTTTCGTTTTCCAGATCATCGTCCAACGTTAGAAGTTGGGCTTTCGATTTCAATTCCTTCAATCGTAAATCAACTTTAGGCCTAACAACAGCTGGAGTTAATTTTTCAGGTTTTTTCGGACTTTTAATTGGTATACCAAAAACTAATTCGTGCTCGTAACTCAAAGTTGGAATGCACACTAAAAAAACAACACCGCCAGGCATTTTGATATCCTGTTGGATGATCGCACACGCGACTACGAATAGAAATTATGCATCTTTTATCATGAGACATACGAGTTTCTCAGACGTAGTAGGTACAAACTTAATTAGCTTAACGTTAATAGTTTTGTTATTTGAATCTTAACACATTGGTTATTACAGTCTGGTTAAAAATACCGTACCTATGGTCTATACTTTTTTTTCTCAACTGTTTTACACGATATGTCGTATTTATTTTTGTTTATAATATAATTATGATATTATATATTAATTGTAAGTTAAACAAAAATTATATATGTTTATTAAGATTAATAGATGACCTATTGCTAAAAAACGATAATCAAAGTGATTATACTTTATAAATGACTAAAATATAAATTCATATATAAATATAAAAAAAGTTATTTATTAGTATTATTAAATGTAATATTTAATTTAATTAAATTCAAAATGAATCAGTTAAAGATTTTCGTATTATTATATTTATCACGATGAACACAAAATTATGATCTCATAATTTTTGGAAAGAACATAGGAAGGTGAAAGAAAGGTTTATGAGTTTGCTCGACACATTTTTACGAAATAAACATTTATTTTATTTTTTTCCATTAACAAATCAACAGCGTACAGACTAACGTCTAAAGACTAGACTTTGACGTTCTCGCTTTTGTATTTGTTTCTCTTTTTTTTTTCTTTATTTTTTCTTTTTCTTCTCTCTTTTCTTTTTTTTTTTTTTTTTTTATTATTTTTATTTCTAAAAGAAAACTAGAGGCCGCGAGAGGAATTATTTATCGTGCGAGGGGAAGTCCTGAATTCGTTTTCTACGAATGATATTCAATGTTAAATTCGACTAATAGATTATAATTAGCCTCTTGATTTATAGCGAATAAGAATATCAGAAGCGGCAACGTTTTTTGTTCAATCTAAAATGTTTCACACACGATACTCAAGATAAGCGTCGGCATTTAAAATACACGACGTCAATAAAATATTTGTGTTATTGCGATTAATATATATTTATATATATATATAATCCTCTTTTTAAAAGGATTTCTTGCGGATGATATTAAAGGATGAACGTAGCACGAACGATATATTCGATTTTAATCATAGATCCAATTGTCCCTATACGCGAATTTCTTAATTATTATAAACTAATAGACATATTTTTTTTCATTTTTATTTCACAAATTTTTTGATATATATTTTCACTTGACGCATATATTAATATTATGCTAATAAGAAAAAAACGAAAGGACAATTAATCGAAACAAATAATAATTCAATTCCGTAATAATCAACCATCATATCGTTTAATTATCGATCGTAATTTGTTTCGTTTCTTTCATCCATTTATAGAAATCCAAAAGTAATCTGAATTTCGGACAATTCGAGGGACAGACAAATCCCCTCGCTCGTATTTCTAACAATTTTAATAGCTTTTTTTTTTTCTTTTCTTTTTTTTTTTTTCTTTCCATCGTTCATATCATAATAATAATCGTATCGCGAATAAAACGACGACAGTTTCTTCTTTCTCTATACTTTGATTCCTAAGAATTATTTTTTTTGTAATTCACATTTTTTTTTATTTACAATCACGTACACGCATACACACGCAACGCACACACGGCATACACGATATATTCCTTCGTGCAAGTAGTACTTATTTATTTTATTTTATTTATTTATTTATTTTTTTATTTATTTATTTACTTACTTACATAATTCACGCCACGGCTAAGTGCCAACTTCACGTACGAGGTTTTCACGGTTATTTCTCTCACTAACAAGTAGAATCGTTTAAGGCCATTACACGAGGAGATAAACAAAGTTTTTCTCTTTTTTTTTTTTTTTTAATTTTCTTTCCTTTCCTGTAACAACAGTAGCAACAACAGCCAGCAGCAGCAACAGCAGCAGCAGCAGCAGTGCGGAGTGCGAAAGATTTTTTTTTTATTTTGTACAAGACGTTTCTCCTTTATATAATTTTCTCCTTTGTAATTAGCTGGACCACCTTAGCTGATCTTAATCGATACCAATAGATCAATACGATCTATGAGACCACACAAAACCAGCGAATTTTAATGCAATTTTTCTTGCATTTGGAAGATCAGAAGATTTATTATATTATCTTCCCAGAGTTTGATTTTTTCAAACTTTCGTAATATCATCATCGTTCGAAAGGAACATTTCGTCTTTCAAAATAAAAAAAATATTGATAAAAATCTCATTAGAAGAAAGTGTTTATAGAATAAAATTCAATTGCCTTATTTTTCTTTCTGTCTTTTTTTTTTCTTCTGTTTTTTCATTCTTATTCCGTTAGATCATAAAATATAATTACGTTTGATAGGTGCGTAGTAGTTTCTTTGTTAAATTAATTTCATGAAATTCTTCGAATTAATCCGATTGCGATTATAGATGAATCAAATCAAATATAGACCGAGTATTCGTTATATTCTTGTTCTTTTTCTTTTCATTTCATTTTTTTTCTTTTATAATGGTGTACTGGGTCGTCGTAAGAGCGACGAAAGGAGTGAACGAGGACGTGCTTGTCGTTTCCAAGGACGACGCAAACAAGGACGATGCACATCCTCGTAAGACGAAGCCTATTTACGCGCATTCCTTAAAGGTCAAGCTCTCTCTTCCTCTTCATCGATTTCCTCCGAAGATTCCGAAGAAGATGATGTTATCAGGGCCGTAGATAAACTTGGTAGTTGAGCCGAGCATAGGTAAGACGACATTCTTATTCTTTGAGGATTCCAACATTCTGGAAGGGAACGCGAACCATCCTCGTTTCTTTCCAATGATTTTTCCATCGTGCCCAATTCCATCATCGACACTCTCCGGTGCACAGAACTTTTGCTGCTACTGTCTGCGAGAGATCATTCGTAAGAGAGAGAGAGAGAGAGAGAGAAAAACAAAAAAAAAAAAAAAGAGAAGAGAAGAGAACACAGTTAGAACAAAGGGGAGGAACATTTTATTCAACAAAAATACGTAATTAAAGTCTCGCGCGTAAATGGTGAAAGATTAAAAGTGCAAAATAATAAAAATTGATAAATATATATATATATATATATATATATATATATCAAAACCATATCAGATACTGAAGTGCTTTTCCTTAATTTATATTTGCTACGTCACCGACAAGTTTATCAGAGTTATAACGGACACCTGAGATTATAATTTCGGTTCGGAAGATAGAAGACACTATACACAATAAAAGGCTTTAAATGTTTTTTTATAATGATCTTTGGTCTTATATTAATTAATTACTTAAGATTTAATTGACTTTTTTTTTCTCTATATAACAACAAAAGATTTATTTATTTAAAATACTTAAACAATTATATTATATTATAAATTAACAAAAATAAATTACTAACCTATAACAACAAAAGAAACAACATTTTAAAGTCTTTTATTGTGTATAGTGTCTTCTATACTTACCTCTCAGGTGTCCGTCATGACTCTAAGTTTGTGGGTGACGCAGCAAATATAAATTAAAGAAAAATACTTCGGTATTTGATATGGTTTTCTTTACTTATATATATCTCGTGCTAAAATATATATTATATATGATACGATATGATGACTCCTTTATCTGACTGCCTACCTTTGCCCAATACCAGTCCCTGGCTCGAACGTATTAACTTTTCGATTCCTCTGTTTTACCTGTGTTTCTCGTGGGAGTGGAAAACTCTTCCATCCCGGTAACCGTGTACTCGTCGCACTCGTCAACCGTTTCCTGACGTTCGATGTGATCCGGTGTACCAACGCTCTCGCGTCGAAACAGACCAATCACTGATTGTACTTTTGGTTGCTTTATGGTACCTTTGAGGATCAAGTTTTTCCTTTGTTATATTTGAAACTAGGCTAGGAGTGAGTATTTAAGGCTTCTCTATACGTGTTCAAACATGTTATGGTGCGCGTGCATCTAAAACTTACGTTTTATCAAATCAAACATCGTTTTCAATTTGTTTTCGGTATTATCGATTTTTCGATCGATGCAAATATTCCCATCGATGCCAAATAAACATATATTGCAACATTTAACGTGAAACATAGAAATCGATGCATGCATACATCGACACCCCCCTCCCGAACTTTCGCAAAATCTTCTTTGATTTCGGTTAGATTCCACATTACCGACTTTGTTTGTTTCTTTTTCAATTTGTCGTGATACCAACGTTGAAACGCGTACTTTATTTTTCCTTCGTCGATGAAAATCACTTTTCCAATGCTGATTTACCGATATCGAATTATATATATATATATATACAGTGTGCAACATATATCGTAAAATTTAGGAATTGGTGCATACATCGACATTTAGGTTTCATACAATCAACCTGTAATTTCAGTTAGTCTATACATTTTCTGTGATATTAACGTCGAAACACGTTATCTTTTTTTTTTCCCTTTATCGATAAAAGTTTGCCTCTGACGTTAATTCACTGACACTGAACTACATACATACATCGTGACATATGTATGTCATGAAACTTAGAAATCGATGCATATTTTAACATGTATAGGTGCCTTTAAGAAACATACTTCATTTTATTGGAAAATATACGTACCAAGCAATGTGGCCGAAGGTGAGCTATAAGTAAGAAACTCGTTTTGTTTCAACGGATGTCCGGATTCGTAGTCGTCATCCCGTTTCCAAGGCAACACGGTTTCCTGACGTTCTATATGATCCGGCGTGCCAACGCTTTCACGTCGAAACAGGCCAATCACTGATTGTACTTTTGGTTGTTCTATGGCACCTTTGGAAATAATCGAAATTTTTATTTGTTTTTTATATTAATTTAGCATCAGGTTTAAATTCAAACCCGTTGTGATACATTTGACGTGACTTAGATTCGTCACGCGTGCACACTTGTTTTCTTTAATAATAAATCCAAAATGACGAATCTCTTATTAACGTCAATCAAGTTAATATAATATTTAATATGTACGGAATATATATTACTTTTACAACGAAAGAATCAATATCCAAAGAGTTAATTCTGTTGAAAAGAATATCGAAGGGGTTAAATAAAATGATTTGTACCTAAGAAAGTAGCGGAAGGTGAGCTGTAGGGTAAGTATTCCTTATTAGCACACCAAGCCGGAAACTCGTTTTGTTTCAATGGATGCCCGGAATCGTAATCGTCCTCGCGTTTCCATGGTAACATCGTTTCCGTTGCCGTTGGGGTTGTTACCCTATAACTTTCACCTGTCGAATTCAACCAAAATTCTTTTGAAATATTTTTTTTTCTTTATATTATTTTGTCTGTTTTTTTTTTGTTTTTTTTTTTTCTTAGATTACCTACCATCACGGGCAAACCTCAAGTCGGCATCTTCGGTGTTTATGGTGTCCATGGACGTAGTAGCGGTTGCGTGATGACCGTCTGGATTAGCATTGGAAAAATCTTACAAGGTAACGAAGTCAACGATTGAAAAAAAATGTCGATGGGGGTAAGATTTAAAAAAAAAATAATCTCCATGAATGAACAGGAACAACGATATCTTTACCGGAAGTACGAGCAGTAAAAGTTATGGCCGAGTCCCAATCTTCCTTGCTCGAAGGTTTCGAGTTATCCCCGTTTTCCAATTCGTATAACACGCCGTTCATGTAGTCTGGTTTAAAAAGAAAAAAAAAAAAAAAAGAAAAAGAACAAGAAGAAGGTTACGAACAATTCGAAATTATTTCTACGAAAATTGATTTATCGATTGTCTTATACGAACCTTGGGTGAATAATTTGGTCGAACCGTTTTGTTGGAATTCCGGGAAACTCACGTGATTCTGCTTACCGTCCTATACGAAAATTACAAAAAGAGAGAGAGAGAGAGAGAGAGAGAAAGAAAGAAACAGGATCGTGGTAGGTACACACGTAAAAAAAAGGATAAACGTTTAAATTTCTAATATAAAAGGAATTTGTTAACACTAGATTTACGGATATTTTGTTTACTACTTTTTCAAAATTTACGAACATTGTTTGAATGAAGAAGTGGATAAAAGGAGAGTAATTAATATTTACGTACATTTCACACACATTACGGTATTAAAAATATATATCTTAAACAAAATAATATTTAAGTTTTATATANATATTAATTAATTTAATATATATATGTGTATAGCAAGAAAAAATTGGAAAATGAATGAAAATTATTTAAAATCCATAAATCTGGTGTTAGTAATAATAATTTTGTTTTCGCTTACCTTTAGGAACTTCTTGCTGCGTTTGTGACGATGTTTGTGCTCGCCCATCATACGTCGAATATTCATGTGCATTTTATAATTGACTTGGGTAGATAGATCCCGATCGTTGACCGCGTGCCTACTGTAACTCAATCGTCGGTGCTGCGACGGTAATGTTTTACACTTTAATTAAAATCAGCTATCTGTTCTTAGAGTTCTCTACCCTACAGCCTCGTAAGGCGGTCGTATCGTATTCGTTTTTCTTTTTTTTAGTTCTTTTTTTTAATTTTTTTTCGTTTGTTTTTTTTTTTTTTTATTCTTTAATTTCGTCTCTATTATTTTCACTATCATTCGCGAGCGCGCCTTTTTTTTTCACGAGGCTCACCCGTTTGTAAGGTTTGCAGAGTTCTTCCGCCAATAGATGATGTATCCTAGCGTCTGTCAAATCTTTCTTCGATGGATTGTACTCGAGTTCCTGGAGATCGATATTCCAACCTGTTTCGAGTTGACTGCAACTCGGACTGGAAGGAGGGAAACAATGAGACTGCAGGTTTATGATTACCACGCCGTTTTCTGTTTTTTTCCTTTTTCTTTTTCTTTTTTCTATTACAAGATCGATACTACCAGCGTAGTATTCAACCCCTTGCTGTTGTTGGTTCGATTATGGTAATATTCAAACAAACCGGGTTGATATTATATTACGTTTATTATTATATATCTATTATTATTATTATTCTTTTTTATTTTAATTTCACGTAATGTTTTTCGCGTAATTTTGTACTATTGTTTTTATTTTAGAGCAATTCATTATATTTTACCTTCCGTTGAATTGTCCGGTATTGCTGTAATTTCGAAATATGGCTGACATACTTTCGGTTCCACTGATATTACCGATCGTCGAAGCGTTTCTTCTTATGTAATCCATGGCGTCCTTCATGGCTAATTTCGAATAGGTCTCCAAAATCTTTGGTTCGGCACCATAATGATTTCGCAATAGATACGGCCGGATAAATTTGTTGTCGAAACGTTTGAATCTAAAAGAGATTTTTGGGTTTTATTTATTTATTGATTTTTTTTTTATCCATCAATAATTCGCCCTCGGCTATTATTTTTCAAAGCGGTGAAAGATTAATTTAAAAATAACAAAAAGAAAAATACAGAAGAAGAAGAAACGTCTTCTTTAGAATTAGAACAACAAAAAATGTATTTGGATACGTGCCACTTTCAAAAATAACTCTTCTCGTGTGCGTAAATATAATATTACGCGTGTAAGCATAATCGATTTATATAGTTTTTTTTTTTTTTTTTTTTTTTTTTTTTTTTTTTTTATTTTTTTTCCTTACTTATCTCTCACGTGGTAATTGCCATGTTTTCCTAAGATGTCCTCGATTCCGGCCATTACATGATCCATTATCTGGATAACAAAAATAAATATGATCAAAAGTATTATAGAAAAAAAAAAAGAAAAAAAAGGATAAAATTTATCGTTTGGTAATCAACAAATTTGATCATGACAAATGCAGTTTTTTTTTTTTCTTTTTTTACATGCAGTTAATGAACTTGACTCACGAATACTTAGAATGTTAGAATAAAGAAGGAATTGTTTTAACGGGTGATATTTTTTTTATCAGGAAGGACGATCAACAAACGTTTCTCGACTTTCGCGTGATAATTTGTTCAAGGCTAAAGAAACATCGATCAATGGTGGTTCTCAAGATCCACCCACCTACTCCCCTCCCCAACATTTCGAGCAACATTAAAATTTCTTTAGATAATATCGTTATAAGGAAACGTTCAACATTGAATTCGTATAAAAGGTATGATAATATTATCTCACCCTTTCATGAATCCTCTCGTTCATCGTAGGCTTCCTTTTTTCAGCTCTTTTCACGTTAAGTATCCTAACGAGGGGTTTAATGGTGATTCCCTTAAAAATCGTAACAATCAATATGATACCAATGTAATAATGATATTTGATTTATGATTATTACATAATAGAAAAACAATGAATGTACCTGTATGAACACGGTGAAATATATAACAGCAATAGTGGTCGTAACGAACATTGGTTGCAACGCTACGTGTTTTGGATCTATTAGCAAGACAAGGGCAAACGCCACGGCACCTCTTAATCCGCCATAGGACATCACGAATTTCTCCACCTTGTCCAGTTTATGCAGACGAAATTGATTGGCCAATGCAGTCAAGACAATCACTCCTAACGATCAACGATAGTCCTCGTTGATTGACAATTTATTATTAATTTCTTTTTTTTTAAATCAATAATACAACAACCTAACCCTCTTCCTTCTAAACTAGATTATTTTTCTCTCTTTTTTACGAGATTAATAATAATAATAATAATAACAATACATTTTCGGATTAATGTAAACTCGTTTAATCGTATAAAAAAAAAAACCAAAAACTTTAAATCTCAAATCGGTTTAAAATATTTCACTTTATTACGCCAGAAAATTCTGTAAGTCTGATACTTTGACAAACTGTGTTGCGTAAGGAGCCGATTATGGATTAGAATTTCCGAACAATCGAGCCTGTTAAGTTATCGTTAAAATGGGAAGCCGTAAACACGTGACATTAAGCCAAGTGACATAACTTTCCTCAGGAAAAGAAATGAAATAAAATGTTGTTTCGTAATACCCATTTCTCTCTTTTCCCTTTTCCCATTTTTCTCTGTCACTCTCTTTCTCTATCTATCTCTCTTAACATTATGCATTTTTCTTTTTTTAGTTTTCCGATCGTTTCTATAAATGTTAACAACACAACACGTAGCACGTCTTTGTTCGGAATTTCTCTTTTCAAATTGAATTTCAGCATGGTTGATTATTGTTGCAACGTATAAAAACAACGATCTACCCGATTGATTTTCCCCTTTATAATACAATATCATGGATAAGTGACTTTAAACTATATAACAACGTCATACTAGCTTGTTGAAAAGACTTTTTATAATGTTTTTAAAAGAGCAATAAAACGAGAGGAAGAAAAAATAAATAAATATATATATATATTCTCTGATTATAAAACCTTTTTTTTGTTTCGTATTACTTCTATTTTAAATAACAACCGATTATTTTCCATATTACGTTATGTGAAACGTTGGAATTTTATATGGGGAATTTGATATACCGTCGTAATGGGATACAACGATAAAGAGAAAGAGAGAATAGAAAGAAATAGGAAAAGGGATCTCTCTCGTTTATTGCATCATCTTTCTTAGATAAAATGTTCGAATATTTAATATACTTTTGAATCTTATATTGTTAGAAATGTTTAGTATTAATTTTATAACGGTTGTTAAATGATTATTATTAAAATCATAACTCACCCACGATCCGGTAAATAGAACAGAAGACTATTGTCATCACGACGAACCATGTGTTCCAATTATGTTTATTGTTCACCGTTGCCACACCGAGGAACATGAATATGATCGTTTCCGAACTACTCGATAACATTTTCATTGTATATTTAACGGTAGTGTGAGATTTGTGCGATATATTAGCTTCGACGTAATTCTTCATGGTAATACCGCAAAAGGTGATTCTGTAATAAATAGTTTTTCTTGATCACGATTAACAAAAAAGAAAAAAAGAAAATGAACCATAGAATATATATATGTGTATATGTGGGATAGCTATATTTATAAATGATTACGTCATTTTGTATCGGATACTTTTTTAGACTTTTAACGGAAAGAAAAGAGAGTTTTATTTTAGAATAAATAATTTATTTCAAAAAATAAAACAGAAGAGACAAGACAAAATAGATCGTTTTCTATTATTCAGTATTATATTTTCAGAGATTTGTCTTGAACTTTCGAAACACCGTTTAACATTATAATATTATCAATAAACAATATAAACGTAAATTTAGTTATTATATAAAGGTGTTCATCCGTATGCCATTATTAGAAATATATATCACCGCGCGATCAATTTTTCAACAACGGTTGTTCGATACGATGAACGAGTTATAAATATCATTGAAATGTTAATGTATTTTTACTTACGCCAATATTCCGGACATGTGAAAGATCTCGGCATTTAGATAAGCCAAATAAGCCATGACGAATATGAAAATAGGTTCGATCACACGAACCTGGTTCGTGAATCTTGTAACGAATCCTGTTGCAAATCCCCATATGACACCTATTATCGTACCACCGATAGCTACGACCAGAAACGAGGCCAAACCCGAGAGTATGTCCGTATATACGATTCTTGAAGGTCCCATCTCACTATACGTCTCGAACATGTGATACAATACCTAAACAAACGACGACATTTTCTATTTACTTTGTTTATTCGATCAGGGTTACTGGAATATGGAATAAATTCAAGTGATAAGGGATAATTAGACTTCAAATAAACAAAAATATCACCCTTTGCCGAATTTCTGTTCAAACAAAGATAAGTGATAATGTTTAACATTTACACTTTAATTATACGTTTAAACATTTTACTTGTATCTTGTTTGTAGTAAAATTGAACTAAATGTTAATCGATGATAATTATAGAAATACACACAAATATTCTTAATTTCATTTTTAATAGATAAGAAATGTATAATACTTACAACGGTGACAGCATCGTTTAGAAGACTTTCACCGAATACAACGATGTATAGTATCTCGTTGACGTGTATTTCTTCAAAAACGGCTAATACAGCGACAGGATCGACGGCACTGATCAATGCCGAAAAAAGGAACATGTCTAATAACGGTGTCTCGCAACCGAAAACATTGAATTTTCCGAGGACCCATAAGGATGCACCTATTACATAAATATATAAACACGAACGATAAAGCAACGACCAAGCAACGATTATTCACGATCTCGATGGTATATATGTATATGAATAATACATAGAATCATTCTCGAGAAATAAACTACGATGCGACATATCCGTAATTGACTTCTAGGAAGAGATTTTAGTATTATACCATCATCGTTCCTTAATTGGAGTACCGTTAATCAGCTTAATCGTTTCTTCGAATGCTTGCAATATCGAACTCGTGCCAGAATTATTCAAAAGAATCATAATACTTTGTATAAATACCATAATACGGATGTTGGAGTAAACCAAATGTTCGTGCATTTTAAAATGAATATTTCAAAAGTAAATTTTACAAAAGAAATAAAAAAAAAAACAATCTATTACACAGTTTATTATAACACAATTTATAACACAATAAACGCGCGCGTACTTTTGATTCAGCCTAATATCTCGAATTCGTATCCCCGTTACGAGATATTTTTGTTACACAAGTGACATTTAAGTTAGAGAGAAAAAAAAAACAAAAGAAAAAAAAAGAAAACCTAAAAACAAATTGGAAGGTGACGTAAATCAGAATAAAATAAAAATTTGAAATTGTGAATATAAGCTCGTGTCCAATAACCTCGGGTATTCTCGAGACCGTCATTTGGCGCCTTTCGATTAAAATTGCGCACGCGTGCGAATGTCTATTTTTACACGTGTTTTCACGGTCCTCTCCATCTCTAAAATATATATTACGCACATGCCGCGAACATGCTCGTTATTTATTTTGTCAAAAATTGCAACACAAACAAATTGATTGATTTCTTTCTTTGAAATTCTTTCTCTCTCTCTTACTCGGTTACGTTTATTAAGAGAAAAATAAATTCGATTCACCAACCTATTGATAATGTATTGAAAATGGTTCCAACTACCGCGAACAGTAGAATAGTTCCAAGATGATCGAAGAATAATCGATTGGGCATAAAGTAACCGGCATCTAGGATGATCGGTGGTAGCATGTAGAGGAAAAAAGTATCAGGTGTTAGGGGTGATACGTGAACGCTGCTGGCCTGGAACAGAAGTAGTCCGACGACGACACCAACGACGATCAACAAACATGATTCCGGAAAGATTTTACTCAGTCTCGGTGCCATGTGAAAACCTGAATTGAAAATAAACAGAGAAAGAGAGAGAAGAACAAAATGGTATGCATTTATCTAATACATTCGATAGAGTTAAAAACGTGCCAATAAATTTACGGTATCTTTCTATATTCACATACTGGCATAGAGGTGAGTATTCTTGGCTATTATTTAACGTCACGGTTGGTTAATCCAGCGATCAGTGAACTCTTCTTCGAGTTAGCAAACAAAACATAAGTGTTAAGAGGTCATTACAATGAAATCTTCGTTACGCTCGATATATCTCGTTTATACACATTTATATTAGAGTTTTAAGTAAATTTGAAATAAATAATAGTAGTAGTATTTTTGTGCATCTGTCGTAGTCTCATCTCTTGGCACGCATAACTCGGTTGATCAGCTTTTGTTCATAGCGTCAGTTAGTTAGTTAGTTAGTTAGTTAGTTGTACGATTCGTACGAATGGTTACTAAAAATATATTCTGACGAGGGCGCGTAAAGAAATAGAACACGGTCAAGCTCATGGACTTTTTTTTTTTTTTTTTTTTGTTATACCCCGTTAGAAAGATACCCTGTGGAATGATTGATTGAAAAAAATAAATTGATTTATATTATTTATCTATCTTTTTTTTTTTTTTCTTTTTTTTCTTTTTCTCTTACCAATTTTTGCGATACTCGCGAAAAATATCCAAATGCCGATAACGAATGGCGTTTCCACGCGGGGGAACTCGACCGATATAATGTGGTACTCTACTTCAGTTTTTGGTTGATCGATTTCTTGATTGTTTCCAGAAGGTGAGGATGAGGAATCATCATCATGGGTGGCCGTGTTGGATACCGGAAGACTTCTTGCTGAGACCTCATCCGATAAGGAATCGTAGAGTGGTCCCATTGGACCGAAACTACTTCCAGGATAAGGGTCGTGAAGGTTTCTAGGGAGTTCTTCGTCGTCAACGGCTGGTCCATGCATGGCATATCGATCGATCGATATTCTACTCCTTTGATCTTGGCTAACATCTCGTTTGACTAGATTTATCAGACCAGCACGAGTTTCCTCGGGATAATTAAACAAGAAGAGAAGAGTAAAGAGGAGGGAAGCAAACGGTAGGCTTCTTGACGAATCCATGAGTCCTTTGATGATCACTTCTTCAACGTTGTTGATGTTGATCTTGTTGTTGTTGTTGTTGTTGTTGTTGTTGTCGTGATGGTGGTGGTGATGGTAGTGGACAATAATCGTCCGTGTATTTTCGATCACTTGGTCGTTCTACCATCAGAAACAAACAACGAGCTTAGAGTCCTGTGTATCCTTCTTTCCTTATCGTTCCTCTATCCCTTCCTTTTTCTCTGTTTATTAAAAAATGACAGACGACATAAACTTGAAGGAAAGTAACGTCTTTAGGAACTTCATCGTTCTCGTCATATTAACTCCTCTTCCCAAATTTGTTATCAGTTGTACGACACTGTAATAGGATCGATATAATTAAAGGCAATTCACATTTTGTTCTTTCCCATATTAAAAAACATGGAACGAAATATCTCTTACCCCGTTTAGAAATATATAGTATTCTTCGTTTCCTCGGTAACTGTACAACAGTGCAACAAAGGATTCTTCAGATAACTTAGATTAAACTGAATATAAAAAAAAAAAAAAAACAAAATACAAAGAATAACACACTCGAGACACTTTCAGTAACACGCGTACGATCGAACGAAACCAACAAATGTATTTAATTGATGAATAAAAATGAATAAACTAAACAAACAACAAACAAACAAACAAACAGCAAACTGAGAAATAAAGAAAGAACGAAAGACAATGATATATCTATATATATCTATATCTATATATATAGAATCGATACACCAGATAAATCCCGTGTGCGTGTGTGTGTGTTAGATAAAATTAGCCGAATTTAATGGGATTCGTCGAATAATTTTTGACGATAACAAAATCTTGAAAAGGGGTTCACGCCGGTCCAGGCCGATAGATGATTTTCTTGGATGTTGGGTGTCGTGTTGAGATGGCCGACGACGACGACGACGACGACCACGACGACGACGACGTCAACGACGTCAACGACGACGACGACAACGACGACGACAACGATGACGATGACGAAGAAGATGAGAATGTGAAATAGGATAAGGACGGTAAATATCGACGATGACGACGAGGTCGACGTTGTGGCATCGTGTACCGAAATGAGCAGCAGGGCTCGTTGAAGAATACGACCCACCTTGTGGCGTGTTTCGATCGACCGTCACGGCAGCACTGCACGATTCAACTACCCACTTCGATGAGATCTTCACCAAAACTGTCCTATCCTATCCTATCCTATCCTGTTCTGTCTGTTTGTGTCTGTCTTTGTGTCTGTCTGTTTGTTTCTAAGTTTAAAACGTAAAATTTGATTTATATAAATTCGATTTGTCTTTCTTAATACGAAAATATTTCTTCGAAATATATTACCAATACACACCCCTGTTCTTTTTTTTTCTTTTTTAATTTTCTTAATACTCGAAATTGTATCGGGACTCGGGGGAAGGGAGGGAGGAGCTTTGTTGAAGGATTTTCGGAAGGATGAAAAAATACAGGTTGATAAAACTTGTAGAGTATGCCAAAAACGTGCCTAGTTGCCGCCGACTAGTCCGCCCTCAGCTTCTCTACTGATGTGTTTTAAACGGGTATACGCGCGTGCTCTCTTATTCACTCTCTTTCTCTTTCTCTCTTTCTCTCCCTCTTTCATTCTAACCCCTACGTATATATATAACTCGCTATCTTCGTCTATTCGTGTAATTCTCTCTCTCTCTCTCTCTCTCTCTTTCTATCTTTCTTTCGCTTTCCCTCGCCAGCTAGAAGCTTCCAGCCAGCTGATCGTTGCTGAAACTCGCGCAAGCGTCCCGACGCTTCTGTTACAGAATTATACAGGGTGAGACATTTATTTCATAACCTGTAGGATAGTTATTACGTTTCCTTTTTCTTATTTTTCTTCTTCTTCTGTTTTTACCCTCTCGTCAAACACGGGAGTGATTCATTCAAGAAAATTCTTTATGTATCATATATATTTTTTAATTGTTTTTATAATAGATAAATCTCGAATTATTCATCATCGTTCAACGTGTGTGTATGTGTATATATATATATATATATAATGTGTGTAAACCGGTTCGAATCGTATTCGTGTACGTTTTCTTCCTTCGATTATTGGTCATACACGTCTTTTAATAGTCAGTTACCTACTTTCAAACGTCAAATTGTATTACTTTTTTTTTTCTTCTTTTTTTAGAAAAAACGAGACGACGATTTCCTATCTCGCGGTTCAATTTTGCTTTGTTTTTTTTTTTTTTTTTTAATTTATCGTATAGGGTAAGAATACGATTTTTCTTTCTTTATTTGTTTTTGTTTTAATACATTATTTATATTTATATCTTATCATAAGTATGATATGTGATATATCAAGGGTCACGGAGTTTAGCAGAGAACGACCTTAAAGCCGGCTACGTCACGTCGCCGGATCTTGGAGACACCTTTTACCCTTGACCTTGTCGTCGATGCGCCAGCAAAATGCTCGACTGCCCTTATAACCGTTTTACCAACCCGTAAGACTCTCGGTTCGAAGAATCTTCAGAAACTAAAAACTTCTTCCATCCTCGTCGTCGTGGTTCTTATCGAAAGCTCCATATCTCCGTAGCTTTTTTTGTATATCCCCATATAATATTTGTTGTTTTCTTGTTTATATGTATATGCAGGTATATGTCATGGCTCAACCGATCTTTTAAATTTCGTCGTCATTTTTTTTTTTTTTTTTTTTTTTATTATTATTTTTTCTTCTCTTTTTTTGTCTTGCTCGAAACAATCGAAAATATAGCACGTCCTGTTTGAATTTTTATGTACACCACACATCACCGTCCGCCATTTATTCGGAGTATCCCGTTTTTCCCCCGTGCATGGATTCAATTTACGCGAATGAAAATTTTTGAAAATAAAATTTTGTCAATAGAAATGAAATGAATGATTTTAGAAAGTAGTGTTTTTAGATCTGTTTTTTCTTCTTTTTTTTCTTTTGAATTATTTTATTATCATTAATATATTATCATTACTTTAACGATATACGTACACTTATAATAATAAACAATAAAAATGATCAGTTTTTAATATGCTTTATTTAAATCTAATTGTAATAGTAGTTCTTGTATTTATTGTTTCATCTATTACTATGATTTTATATTCGTTAAGTAATTCAATTGACGTATTTCTATTTATATATTCGATTTTATTGTTATTAATAATTATTATACATAGGGAAAGATAGATGTATAATCAAAAGATTCATTTATCATTTTGTATAAGTTTTAAAAGTATATACATTTCGTATTTTCATTTATTTTCCTATGTCTTCCTCTTTATGGTGACACATCACATACAATTTTTAATTCTATCTTTTACATAATTGTTGCTTACGATTTTGTACTTATATTCACCTGATATTATTACACCCCTCACATCGTTAACTGATTATATTATTTACTTCTAACTTTTATCTATTTTTACTTATTAACACATATTACACCAAAAATTATACACACACACACACTCGCGTTATTTGTATTTACCGCTTGAAATCACGGTAATTTTTTTCATTTATTATGTAAATGTAAACGAGAATATTGCTTGCATTTCTTTAATAAACAAACAAATATTTATTTTTCCAAACCTTAATAAAAACAAAATTCAGATCACGTATATCGATACCAAGTATAACAAATATTGCATAGTATTATTATTTAAATCTTCGCGTATAATTAAGGTGTAACAGTGTATAAATTTAATGAAAATCTTTAATTATATCGACGTTTGTTCTTCCTCTCTCTCTCTCTCTCTCTTTCTCTCTCTCTCTCTCTTTATCTCTTTCTTCGTAACTATTCCAGTAAGTAGTAGTATAACTTTTGCACGGTTACTCTCTCATGAAATTAGTTATACTAGAAGGACGGTTCGTTGAACGTGTCCTCGTTTTAGGAAAAGCTGAAGTCGTAAACACCAGAGAGAAAGAGAGGGGTGGAGTGGGGTGAGGTGGGGTGGGGTGAGGGAAGGGTAAGAAGGAAGAGAAAAGGGATAGAGAATTTGGGAGATGGTGATGGTGGAAAAGGTTTTGTCCGATACGCACAAGCTGCCATTAATTTTCGTGACGGACGTGTACAAGCTAATGGCACTTTAATGACCAAGAATTCTATCTAGCACGATTCTCATTGGACGTTGATAACATGACGCACCGCAAATGCAAAATCCTCTTCCTTAACTTTCCATTTAAACGGGGGAGGGGGGGGGGTTTCTCACTTTCCTCTTTTCGAATTACTTTATCTATGAGATAAATTCCGTGTCATCGAAGATTAAACATTGTCTTTTAAATATCATCTTTCTATTAATAATTAATATAGTTTACTCTTATGATTTTCAAAGTAAATTCACTTTTTTCTATTTTTTCTTTTTTTGTAGGGTAGTAGGTAAAAGAATATTTTCAAATTTTCAACGAATTTCAAGAATAAGAAAAAGAATTCTCTCGTGGTGCTATTATTTTTCTAGTGCTTGTAAACAAGCAGTAAAACGTTTAGGTAACGAGACTTTCATGGAAATTTTCTTGGCCCTTTCTTAAAAGAGTATACCTTTAACGCATGGAGAAAAAGAAAAAAGAAAGAAAGAAAGAAAGAAAAAGAAAGAAATAGTGAGAAAGACAGAGAGAGAGAGAGAGAGAGTAACTTACAACGTAAATACTATTTTTCACTTTTTGTTTCTCTTAAGAAATGCATGTTACGATCGTATTCTTTATATCCATCTCTATTCCTTTAGAGTGTATTAAAACCATCCAGGGTTTAAAGGTTCGAAGGATTTACGCGAGCAAATTGGGTTGAAGTGCCGTCAAACGTTTTACCTTCCTTCTCTCGTCTTTCTAAGATTGGTATCTTTTCTAAAGGATAAAAAGAGTTCACTCGGATAGTCTTTCATTTATCCGCGTTTAAAGTATATGCTTTTCAAAGTTTCTATTAAGAACAGTAATGCATAAGGAAATATAATTGAGTTGAAACTTTTTATATATTATATTGAATAGATTTGAATTTCAAATTGTTAAGAATACACGAATGAATAGACAAATTGGGATTAGAAAATTGTAGAAAAATTGTTTACGATGTTATCTCGTCAATTTTTATATTACACAAAGATATTTAAAATAAAATTTATTTTTGTTTTTATTATAATGTATATAAAAATAATAATATAAATTTATATACATATATAAATGTGTATATGTTATATATTATATTATATATTCAAAATCATTGCTCGGGGATGTGTAACGAGCGATGTGTAAACGATCAAACACAAAAATGGTTTATTTTCTTTTTTTTCTTTTTTATACTCCTCTTCTTCTGAAACGCTTTCATTGAAAAGTTCAAAGTTTTCTTTGAAACAAAGTACGCTTCATTAATACGTAAGCTAGTAATGCTTTAGTAGAACCTTGATCAGAACCAAGTAAAATGAAGTAGTTTAAACAATTTGGCGAAAAATATTAAATTTTTCATTTCTATACGTTATCCTTTTTCGTAAATCGTATTAACAATAAATTATAAAAGATCAATTTTTCTATTAAAATAGGATAGAGAAGTGATACACCTACATTTGATAATATAACGATTGAATTTCGAGGGAGGAAAAATGACCCTACCGACGATTATTCAATTTTATTGGAGATATATCTGTGTATATAATTTATTCAATTTTCATATAACCGAATAATCGAGTATATTATAGTCATGTTGCTTAATCGAAATGCTTGCCACATTTTTCATTGTTAATACGTTAAAGAATTATATGCATTATTAACTATATATGCATTAATAACTATATCTTTCTCTTTCAAATTATTTATTTAATTCTTTCTCTATCTATCTATCTATCTCTCTCTCTTTCTCTCTTTGAAAAAAAAAGTATTACATTTTGTAGATTATTTAAAAAAAAAAAAAAAAACAAAAGAAAATCATAGTTTATTTCTATTATCGATTAGTTAGATTAGAATTGAATTCGACGTATATTTAATCTGACCGATATTTTTACTTACTACTAATCAAACGTATCTTTCATTGGTAATTACTTTTGCTCTTATTTTGCGGTATAGGTATGTCGTTGCATATACATAGGTGAAACGGTACACACAGGGATCGATTATCTTTTGGAACGTTTGTCGAAAGTTAATTACTTTCAGCAACGTAATTCTCTCCATCGATACAAATCGTAGAAGCATGCTCTTTGAACGTGTTCTGTCTACCCCCTTTTTCCCACCAACCCCTTTCACAACCCTTATCGTTAATCCTATCTTTATGAATTCATTGCTAAAACGATAGAAATCAATTTTTTTTGTTTTTCTACCTTTTATAATAGGAACTCAATAGAATGACTTTTAGACGGGGGTGGAGTGGGGTGGGATGGGGTGGGGGGTTAGTTAGAGAAAAAGGTATTCTATTTAAATGTTAAATTTATATCATTTACATAGTTTGTTGAATTTAGTTTCGCGCGGGTGGAAGGAGAAAAAAAAAAGATTCGCAAGGGGGTGGTTCGCGTGGGTGAATCGAAACGATCGACTAGATTGAGATCGATAGAAGAGAGGGTGGAGGGGGAGGGGA